GGTGTTTGTGTGGGGTGTACATGGGTGTGAGGGTGTGCGTGGGTGTTTGGGTGGGGTGTGGGTGTGCGTGGGGTGTATGAGGGTGGCCATGGGTGTTTGGGTGGGGTGTGGGTGTGTGGGGGGTGTATGAGAGTGTATGTGGGTGTTTGGGTGGTGTGTGGGTGTGCACGGGTGTTTGGATGTGATGTGTGTGGGTGTTTGGGTGAGGTGTAGTTGGGAGGGTGTGGGGTGTGGGAGGGTGTTGGTGTGGGGGTACATGGGTCTGGGGGTCTGCTAGTGTGGAGGGGGTATAAGGGTGTACATGGGTGTTTGGGTGGGTGCGTGTGGGGTGCATGAGGGTGTGCGTGGGTGTTTGGGTAGGGTGTGCAAGGTTGTGGGTTGATGTGGAGTGTGTGAGGGTAGCCATGGGTGTTTGGGTGGGGTGTACACGGGTGTGCGTGAGGTGTATTGAGGGTGTTGGTGTGGGGGTCAGGTAGTGTAAGGGTGTGTGGGGTGTGTGAGGGTGGCTGTGGGTGTTTGTGTGGGGTGTACATGGGTGTGTGGGGTGTGTGAGGGTGGCCATAGGTGTTTGTATGAGGTGTGCATGGGTGTGGGTGTTTTGGGGTGTTAAGTTCGTGGGCTATGTGCGTGCTGGGGTGTGTTTAGGAGGCCTAGTGAGGAGCGTGGGGGGGTGTTTGTGTGTTAGGTGTGCATGGGGTGTATTGTGTCTGTGTGAATGGGGTGTGTGAGGGTGTTAATGGGTGGTTTTGGGTGGGTGCATGTCTGTGTGGGCTGTTGGGGTAGGTGGTGTGGAGGTGTAACTGGGGAGTGTGTATAGGGTACATGTCAGGAGGGCGTATGTGTGTATGTGTTAAGTGTTTTTGGGGGGCTGCGTTATATGATGGGACGAGTGGGAGTGTGTGTGGGTGGTGTGTGTGAGGGTGTTCGTGGGTAGCTGGGGTGTATGGGTGCGTGCTGGGGGGGTGTAGTTACAGGAATATGTGTTGGGTGTGTGGGTGTATGGGCTCACATGTAGGGGTGTATCCCGTATGTGTGGGGGTGTGTGTGTGTATGTGCAGTGGTTGTACGCGTAAGTACGCATGTCAGGAGCGAGCGTGGTGCATCCAAGTGTGGAGACACCATCAGATGGCACTGGGAGACCATGATCTGCTCCAGGGCACAGGACGAGAGCGATGCAGTGCCTTTGAAGTTTATTTCCGAGGTGTGCGGAGTGCTGACTGCTGAGGTTCTTTTCCTGGAGCCTCCACAAGTGACAAGGGAAAGGACACAGGGGAAGGAGGGGTAGAGCAGAAATCCCATGAGTTGTCCTCCACACAGGCTGACTCACACACACGGCGGTGTCTGCATTTTGCTATCTTGAGCTGGAAAATAATACACGTACTCCTGTCACCTCACTTACTTTTCCATTTTAAGAGGCGATGCTCCTCATGTGTCCCTGACCGCATTCCTTTGCCTACAGGCTGACATTTCATTTTTGGCTAGTTTGGGAAGAGCTGTTTAAAGCAAAGTAATGTGTCAGCGAATTAAAATTTTAACCCATTTACTTGTTACCCACTCTCCCCAGGAACCTCGCAGTCAAGATGGCTACGACAGGAATGTATAAAATGGATGATGGAAGCAACTGTGCAACTAACTGCTTTCCTGCCAGGGGCATTTTACGTGCAAGTAAAGAAGGTGACACTTTGAGTGCTGCTGGTGAAGTGTCCCTGCAGAATAATGTCACGTCCATAGCAGCGGGTCTCCCATCCATCCTCTCGTAGATAGAGGCTACGTTCAGCTGTGGTTTCCTGTATCAACATCACAGCTGATAACACAGATAACAGTTGATAAGAGAACTTGAAACAGTGCCCAGAAAGTCTTAAAATAATTTAAAACTTTATTGAAGTGAAGGGCAGGGTGTCTAGGGCACCCTTTAAACGAGAGCTCCAGGAGGCATCTCAGTGTGGTTCTCAACACCTCTTCTGAGCCAGAGCTTCTCCTTTTGACCTGAGCTTTGAGAGTCACAACTGTGAAATGCATAGAAATGGCACAAATGCCCTCTTAACATTTGAAAGGTGGTGGAGACGCCTGCTAGGCTGGTAAGGGGTCTGGAGCACAGGACCTTCTAGGAGAAGATTAGGGTGCTGAGCTTGTTTTGTTTGTCCAAGAGGAGTCCAAGGGGAGATCTGATTGTGGCTTTAAGCTACAAACTCCTCTTAATGGTGGCAGATGGCATAACTAAGCCAAAAAATTCACCTTGGGAGGCTTAGGTTGGACGTTAGGAGGAACTTCTTTGCTGGGAGAAGGTGCAGCTCTGGGCCAGGTTACCCTGGGAGGTGATAGAATTGCCAGAAAAAGCCACAACTGGCTGATCTAATGTTGCTGATGGTTCTGCTTTGAGTGGGAGATTGGATTGGAGACCTCCAGAAGGCTCTTTCAGCCCACATTTCCATGTCCATGCAACATATAAATTAACATGTTTCTCCTTTTCCGTGGCTCTGGCTGTAGCTTTAACGTTCCTGTCTGAACTTTATGGTCACTGAACATATTATACTTCAGTTTTTCCCCATGTAGGGGATTCTAAAATGATGGATTTCAGTGTGGGACTGAAATACCAGGCAGAGAGCAGCCACTTTGAGAAAAGCACATTTAGAGGGTCGCACGCTCATCATACCATCTCCTCTGCCTCGGTCCATCGTCGTGCCAGGGTCTGGGCGCTGGGTGCTGGCACGCAGAGCTACCCCAAGGGCTTGGACTGAGAAGGGGACCACCGGGGAGACACCACAGCAGAGGAGGAAGCCCCCAAATTCTGCCTCCATGGAAGAAAATAATGAAGACAATATCCTAGATGAGCCATTTCTGGTGAGTGCAGATTTCCTGTGTTATTCTTCCCCTGTTGCTGCCTTCCAAGGAGCCAGGTGCCTCCCTTATGTGGGGGCAGCTGAAGTCTGGTTTTGGGGTTCAGGTCCCAGGATGCAACACTCAGGATTGCTTACATGGGTGGTGCAGGACTAACCATTTGCGTTTCTTTTTTTTTCTTTTCTCCAGATGAAGCACCACTGTTTGAAGAACCCCTCTGACCTGTGCTCTGTGAACATAAGCAGCCAAAATCTGGTCTCTGTGAGTATCAGGGATTCAAGAAGCATTAAAGAACCACTTTAAAAGTTGAAAAATTTTACCACATTACCCCGCGACTGTCCAGATATTAAAGAAAACACACGTTAAGTGCAGGCATATTCCTCGCACAGGAAGGGTAATTCCTGTTCCTTGAACAGGCTTGGATGATTTGTCCTACAAACTTTTGGATCATGTACTCTTAGCCAAATTAACTTCATCAGTTGTAGCCCCTTCCCCGCTTCCATCCCCTCGCAAAATGCTGTTCTTTGGGTTCAGGGATGTTCAGCTCAGCGAGGGTAGGAGTTCAGCTTGAGAAGTGACTTTTATTTGGGTTCATGGCTAACTCGCAGTAGGTTGCTGATGGGTTTTTAGTGTCTTCTCAGGGTTTCCTCCTGGTGCTGTGAAGGACAGATGTGCTAAAAAAAAGGGTGGCTTTGAAATATGAAATATGGCCCAGGAGCCCTGTGACATATACAGGGGAGCAAGGTCAGCGGCGAGGACACAGACGGGGCTTTGCTTTGGGGCTCAACTAGTCCAGGTCTTCTGGATGTTGGTCACTGAGGCAGCTGCACATTAAAAATACATACTCTGAGGGGTGCTCTGCATTGGCAGAAAAACAAATGAAAACCTAAATACGAGAAGTGCTGTGATTTAGGCATTCTGAGAAAAGGACAGATCCAGTTGTTTCAGATCAGCTTAGGGCTGGAGCAGGATGATTTCATAGAATCATAGAATGGTTTGGGTTTCCACCCACCCCTGTATTTTTCAGGCTAAAGAAGATGATTTTGAGAAATTTGATGGTGTCACTTTTATAAATGCTGCTGAGAACCTGCTGACATTAGGTAAGTGATTGCATTACCAAAAAATAGAGGCTGCTTTTCAACCTTGAGAAGCTTACACTTGGCTGAACAAAGGTCTAGAGCTTTACAAAGAGGTTTAAGATGTACACGCAGCGCTTCTTTGCAGAGTTGCTTCCTTCCTGTTACTGAACTGAAATCCTTGCGTTAATTCCCTTTATTGTAACGATAATTGCGTGCCACTGTTGTATCCTTTCCATTATTAGAAAACAAAGCTCTTTACAAGGAAAATCCCCATTTAATATACAGAAGCGTCGAATAATGAAAAGTCTTGTCCCAAAGGCTCTGAAGGTTAATGGTAGAGCTGGGAGGTGAATACAAATGCAGTGTGATGGGCTCAGTTATTCTGAAGAATTAAAAAGGAGATCTGTTTATAACTAGTAAAACATAGAAGCTAAATGTGCCGTCAGTGGCTTCAAGCAATAATCTGATTTGGGGTGGGAAAAAATGCATGAAAGCAAGCCAGTTGTCTAAGGACATCTGGTGGAACATCATATATTGTACGGACAAACATCTACCTGAGCTGGCATTGTCCCTCAAAGTTGCCCACTGATAACACTGGTGCTCTCATTCTTGCTGGTTTTGGTCCATTCTGGACCTAGTGACACATGACTTGTTCTGTTAGTACTGTTTCTCACTCGCTGGAGCATTTTCTTTTCCACCCTTGTAGAGCCATTTCGGAAGTTTCCAGGACTGAGGGAACTGGAACTTTCCTTGAACGGACTAAGAAATCTGAAAATCACTGCTGGAGAATTCCTGCATTTGGAAGTAAGATGAGGGGGATCTGAGACCTTATTCATCTCCTCCCTTCATGCTGAAGCCTACACATAGCGGTTGACCTGCAGTGTGAATTCTCTGAAACTGCAGGCTCACTCTTCTTGCTTCCTTGTGACTCCGGGATGTCCTTTCTGCTGTGTCCCTCAAGGACCTTCACATCTTGCTTCCTTCCGCAGAGCGATCCCTGTGTCTCTGGGTCTCTTCTCCAGAGAGCTCAGGCTCTGCCTTAGCTGCACTGATCTTATCTAGACTTGCTCTTTTCGAGGTGTCTTTGCCTGGATTTCTCTTTCTTGCTGTACACATGGTTTCTGATTGATGCTGGACATAAAGTTTTGTCTTCAAGGGCTTCTTCCTGTCTCATTCAAAAAATTGTTGGTGGCTCAACTGTTGGTTCTGTACACCCAGATCCTCGCCTCCCTCCTGCCTGCAGGCTTTGGAAGTCTCCCCAAATCCATGAAGCTCTCCTGTGTTTCTCCCATGTGCTGTTGGTAACCCACACAGAGGGTTACGTGGTGCCCAGGTGATGGGGAAACACATTTCCAGGGCTCCTGAGGCCAGGGCTGATCCTGTCCACCCCTGTGTGCCTCTGTGTGAGCAGCTTCAGCTACAAAAAGTGGGGATGAGACCCACATAAACTCCCCTCCCTGCCATGCCCCGTGATTCCCAGCTTCATCCATGATCAATGTCCAGGATCTTGTTTGCTGACAGCCTGGAGAAATCAGCCCTGGGCAGACTGATTGGAAATTCATATTAAATTGATTTGGAAAGTGCTTTTGAGCTCCTCCTGGGGAAATGCAGCCTATTGTAATGCCTCAGCAAAGCTATTCCTATTCATGTATCCTAGAAACCCTCATCCTCACTGCCAGCAGGGTCTGCTCTGCTCCCTGGCTGTTTGTCCCGTGAGTCACACATGTGAGTGGGGGACCAGCCCTGAGCACTTCTGTCAAGGTGCAGAGTCTCACCGCTGTAAGCAAAGTCCCTGCAAGTCAGAGATGCTCACGGCATCACTTGAGGGGGGATGATAACACAAACAAAAGTCTCCTGTAAATATTTAAAATCTTCCTGGGGAAAGCCAACAGAGCTTGCTCTTTGCTCCAGGGGATTGTTTCTTCTGTTTCCTTCAGGATCTGGATCTCTCCTACAATAATTTGTCCACCCAGGACATTTGGACATTGGGAGATTTGTCCCAGCTCAAAGTTCTTCGTTTGACAGCCAATGGGCTTCGGTCTCTGCCTCCGGACCTGGCAGGCTCCTGGGAGTGAGTGCACACAGCAAGCACTGCCTCAGCTCGGTGGGGAACTGCCAGCACACCAGTGGGATGCACTGGGAAGGCAGAGGGATGGAGTGGTGGGGATGGGAAGGCAGCGGTGAGCAGCGAGGGTGGGCAGCCTGGGATTTACCAGTCTGGCAGCAGAGCTCTTCCCTTGCAAACTGGAAAATCAAATAAGCTAATGGTCAGCACTGGGTGACAGGGGAGTGTTATCCCAGCTCAGCCCCTGATCCCCCAGGGCATGGCAGCCACAGCTAGAGAGGAACCTCTGGACGGAAATTCAGCAGCCCCATCGGGTGGCCGAGCCACATGAATAAGAAGCTATTTATTCATAATTAACTAAACCCTTCATGTATCGCTTAGCCACAGTCGCTATGCCAAGGTAGCCACCGTTTGCCATTGTTGGAGATAAAACACTTAGCTAGATGGTCGTTTGGGTTGATTAAATTTATCTGCTTTGAGGTAGAATATCAGTTTTCTATTAAAAGAATGAAAAAAACGAGCCCCAGTCCAGCCTCCTGGTGGATACATCTTCCCGCGGTGACAGCAAATGACGTGTTTTTCACCTGTCTGTGCTTGAGTGTGTTATTAATGAGCTTTGTATCCGCAGCTCTGCTCATTTAAGGTTTCCATCTCTGGAGGTTTTGTCACTGGATGACAATCGTCTGTCACACCCAAGCGTCTTTGTGAGCCTGTCTCAACTCCGCAGGTAAGGAAGCACCTGGCAACAGACGGCTCTGGCTTTCAGGAGCTGGCAGCTGCCTCCGCCAGCTTAAAATGAAAATGATGACCAAAATCTTTTATGATTCACTCGGATCCTTCCCAGTTTAGTCTCTCTAGTATTGTAAACGGGACTGAACGGAAGCAAAGAACCTGCTGCAAAGCACAAGCTGGCCAAACCCAGCAAGTGGCTGGTAATTCAGCTCCTGCCCTGGGTGTTTGCTGATCTCCAGGTCTGATTTGAGAAATGGCAGTTGCTTTCTCCATTTTTTCTTTCTTTGCCCCAGATTCATCCTTTATTTCAGCGCAGCAGCACTAGGTTCAGCTCCCTCTGTTTTGTGTGGGCTTGAGTGATTCAGCCAGAGATGAGTCACTAGGAAGGGGGGCTGTTCACAAACCCCTCAACTGGGCTGTGCTGGGTTTGGGGATGGCGCAGAGACATTGTCCGCAGAGTTCGTGAGCGAGAAGGGGGGCAGATGAGGTTTAGACACAAGACTGCAGGGCTGGAGTGTGGAGATTTCAGTTTCTGCTCTTCCCTAAGCTGTCTTGTGGCCTTGGGCAAGTGCATTGGTGATGTTATACTCCCATGGGAAGGGGGCACATTTTTAGGGAATCCCAGTAGGACCGCAGCTCATCAGAGCCCTGTGTGATTTAACAAACTGCCAAGATGGCTCATTATTGTTAAATTCTCATCAAGAGGTGAACTTAGGTGATCCTCAGGCTGGTGGCAGGGACTGAAGTCACGGGTTTCAGGGGCAACGCCGGGCTGTGCCAAGAACTGAGCCTGTGGTTGGGGGTTCGGAGAGGAGGGGGAACAGGACAGCAAGATGCGGGTGTCACGGATGCCTTTGCTCTGCTGCTGGGAAGCTCAGCGAGGAGGCAGGTTGAGGGCCAGCTGCCTGCACTGCGGGCACCGGGGCGAACAGATGGCCGGGTGCACACACTGATAGTAATTGTGGAGTTTCTCATTTATTTTCTCTTCCAATAGCCTGAGGGAGCTGAATCTGGACAGGAACAGGATTTCGGCTGTCCCCTACCTGCACCAAGCAGAGAGCAAGCAGTTCTTCCTCCACCCTGCTCTGGATGGCGACAGCTTCAGAGCAGAGTGGTACAGGTCCCTGAGCAACCTCTGGCTGCAGCCCCAGATGCCACAGCAGGAGGGCACGGAGGTGGCAGCAGAGCTGGAAGTGAAGAAAGGACAGCGTGAACTTGTGTTACAAAACCTCACGGATACAGAGAGGATGGGTGAGCTGTGCCTGCCTCTCCCTGCCCACACTGAATCTGTGGGGTGTTTCGGTGGGAGAGGGCTCAGTTGTGTCAGGGTGAGGATCTGCTTAATGTTTACTAGTGAGTGAAGCAGTTTGACCAAATTAAAAGAGTGAGAGAGGGACACACAGAACCGTTTTAGACATCTCAGCTAACCTTACAGTCCCTCTATAATTACTGGGAGCTTACTGGACATGAATCACCCGAAAGCAGAATCACAGCAGGGTTTGGGTTGGAAGGGACCTTAAAGCCCATGCAGTGCCACCCCCTGCCATGGGCAGGGACACCTCCCACTAGCCCAGGTTGCCCAAAGCCTCATCCAGCCTGGCCTTGAACCCCTCCAGGGATGGGGCATCCACAGCTTCTCTGGGCACCCTGGGCCACTGCCTCACCACCCGCACAGGGAAGATTTTTTTTCTAATATCTAGTCTAAATCTGCCCTCTTCCAATTTAAAGGCATCTTCCATGGTTCAGATCGAAGTGCCCCTTTCTCTCTCCTGGACTTCTCCAGGGTAACTTACTCCAAAGGAGAGTTTGCATGTTGGCTGGGAGGAAAACTGGCAAAAACAGGGAAAAAATTCAAGTTGGGAAGTGGATGACTGTGTAGGCAGAGGCGGGAAGGTTGTGTGAGGAGGTAGCCCGCGCACAGCTCTGCCTTCCTGGGGTAGGTCAGCTCTCCCCTCTGGATGTCCTCACCAAAGCGTGATGCACACACCACGCTGGGCCATGCCATGGGATGGATCCGGAGGCTGCCTGGTGTCCTCTGTGTGGATCATGCTGTGATGGAGGCTGCTGGTGGGGCTCCTCCAAGCACTTCTCCTGTCCCCCGGCTCACTGCAGCAGTCCCTGTTGTTAGGTATTTATGGAGCAGGCAATGGTGCAACTTCTGGTGGTAGCAGGATGATGTGGGAAAGGCCTTGTGCTCACAGGCAAGACTCCAAACCAAAGTCTACCTGTGGGGAGCTCCTGGCTGCCCTGAGGCCAGCAGCAGGGTTTTTGCTGTGTTGGAGGGATGTGGACCTCTCCTGGAGCAATGGGGCTGTCAAGGAGCCTGCTACCGTGGGCCTGATCCCCCTCCTCACCTTGGGCACATCTTACCATTAAGCCAGATCCTGCCTGATGCCGATTTGCTTTTCCAGGGTAATTCCAGCCTTGCCACAGCTGGGCTGGTCCAGTGCTCAGCTTCACATAGAAACCCTCACTTTGTGTTTCATTGCAGAGGTCGTGTTTAATTCTGGCTCTCAGAAACACCTGGCACCGGTAAGAACTGTTGGCTGATCTGTGATTTGGGGTATGAGCTCCAAAAACTTCCTTTCCTCAAGCTCTCAGCTGAGTTTCAATAAGCCCGTGGGTACAGCTGGGACTCGGGGCGCTGACAGTGAGTATTGTCTCCCATCAGGGAGATCAGGAGCAAGTTTTCCCATAACCAAGGGACACTGGAGCTTAAACTTCTATCATTTTCAAATAAAAGTTGAGTCACCTGTGTGCCCTCCCTGTGTAGGGAGGTGTTGTGTGGCTCAGGTGGGGACTGAAGCTCAGGAGCTGGGGGTTCATTCATTCTTAGCCCTGTAATCTTTTTCCCCCAGATTTATTTCCGTCATGCTCTTCAGAATCAGGTGTTTGAAGCCAAAGACCCTGATTTTTATTAGAACTTGAGTACGGGGCTGAGTTTAAGAGATGCTGAGCACTCCCAGCACATTCTAGCGTAACACACATGTGCATGCACATGCACGCTTGCCAAGAGCACAGCTGCTTCCTCCCGAGCCCGTGCACGTTTTCAGTGCTAGATGGTGGAATTTGGTGTATTTGACAAGACTCCCTGCAGGGCTCCCACAGAGGCCAAAGCAGGCTGCCGTGAGACAACCTCCGAAGTGGTTCTGAACTGAAAGCTCTTCAAATTATAGCTGTGTTTGGGATCAGGAGGGTGGTATCCTGCCCCTGGGGTGTCTCCTGCCACCAAAGCCTCTGGAGTGGTGTCTTTGCT